AGAGTCTATAGGATTTGGCAAACTGGAGTTCGTTGATGACCTTAGCACAAGCTGTTTTACAGGAGTCATGCAGAAAGTAATCAGATGGAAATGAGTCAAAGAGTAAATAGGGATGTCTGGTTAAAGATAACAAGTTGAACATATTCACTAACCTCTACTCTCCCAAAATTTCAATAAAATGATAGTCATGGAATTACGCTCAAGACAAAAAGATAGAGGGGTAAAACGAAATTTCAGAAGTTAGCGAGCTGCTAACATTCAAGTAAGTTAAGTTAGTTAACAAGCAGTCAGATGTGTGGTAACTGACAGCAGATTTTTAAAAAGCTGATGGGAATTATTTTAGGAGAAAGGTCAAAATGATGATACAGGAGAGAAGGTTGCAGGGACAGAGTTGGTGGGATGAGTTCAGAGCACACAGGGATGATGGGGTTTTATAGGAAAACCATTTTCTTTTTTGTACCAAAAGGGAAGAAGAAGAAAATGGGTGCAAAGGAAAATAGGTTTGCAAATTTGGGAATGGGAATGTGGCATTCCTGACTCTTGACTGCTGAAGCTTTCAAAATTGGTGACAAAGTTATTATATGAAAATAGAATGAAAGAGAGGTGGACAGTTTACGGAGAGAGAAAGAGGGGTCTCAGAAAAAGGGAAATCCAACTGCCTAGAGAAAAGTGGCAATTGCCTGCAGAATAGAGTACACACTTGAGGTTGCTACGCATGAATTTACAGTGGTACCAATCTGCCAGTTATCATCATCATCTGCATCAACATCAAACCTCAAACATCAACATAAAGATGTTAGTGACACAAAGGAATCCAGCAACACCAAATAAAAAGCAAGAGCAGGAAATGCTGACAGGTGGAGTCAACCATTAAAGATGACATTTCGGGGAACCAAGACACCAGCAGGTAGGAGACAAGTGGTTACAGTCTATTTGGTCTGCCTTGCTTAGAGCTGTTGCCATGTGATATAGTGTGGACGTTCCATCCCCTCCAAGTCTCATGTTGAAATATGACTTCCAGAGTTGGAGGTGGGCCTAGTGGGAGGATTTTGGGTCATGGAGGCAGATCCCTCATGAATGTCTTGGTGCTGTCCTTTTGGTAATGGGTAAGCTCTAAATTCTCACGTGAGATCATGCCCAGCCAAACCTCTATTCTGTATAAATTACTAGGTCTCAGGTATTCCATTATAGCAATGCAAACAGACTAACACACTATGTGGTAAGTATATGTTCCATGGCCTTGTCTACTGTTAATGAGTCATTATAGCAAATAAAAGAATATTAATAAATGTATAGTGAGTATGCATGTTAGCACCTCCTTCCTCTCTCACCATGTGACACTGCCTGCTCTTCCTTTGCCTTCTGTTATAATTGTAAGCTTCCTGAGACTCTCACCAGAAGCTTAGCAGAGGCTGGCACCATGCTTGTACAGCCTGCAGAACCATGAGCCAAACAAATCTCTTTTCTTTTTTTTTTTTTTTTTTTTTGTGACAGGGTCTTGCTCTGTCACCAAGGCTGGAGTGCAGTGGCATGATCATGACTCACTGTAGCCTTGAGCTCCCTGTCTCAAGCCATCCTTTCACCTTAGCCCCCAAGTAGCTGGCACTACAAGGGCACATCACCATGCCTGGCTAATTTTTGTATTTTTAGTAGAGACAGGGTTTTGCCATGTTGCCCAGGCTGGTCTCAAACTCCTGAGATCAAGCAATCCTCCTGCCTCGGCCATCCAAATTGCTGGGATTACAGGCATGAACCACCATGCCCAGCCAAACCTCTTTTCTTTATAAACTACTAGGTCTCAGGTATTCCTTGGTAGCAATGCAAACAGATGAATACACCATGTGGTAAGTGTGTGTTCTATGGCCCTGTCTACTATTAATGAGTCATTATAGCAAATAAAATAAAAATATAAAATATTAATAAATGTATACTGAGTATGCATTTTATGCAAATTTAATGAAGAATATTCCAAGAAATAACTAATTTGGAAAGTTAAAAAAAAAGTTTTAGATTGGGAATTTCAACAAGTGATTCTGTGTAGGGCTGTAGGGAGCTACCTAGGAGATCCCACTAATTCCCCCTAGGAATCCAATAATGTTACCTGGCATTTCCACTATTTGAATATTGGCTTTAACCTATAGTTCTTTGCAAATACTATTAATCTTGATATTTCTTATTTATCAATTTTTAGATATTCATAATAATTAGTAAAGAACATGAAGAATGTTAGGAGCATTTTATTATAAGAAATATAAGGGAAATCAATTGTCCCATCACTAGATATATGTTAAATCACTGCAGCGTGAAGCATCATCAGCTCTGGGCCTTCATAGGGCATCTCAGATTCATAGACATATTCATGACATCAAAAGGTCAAAAGCCTCTGAAAACAAGCCTGATGAGCCAATGCCCATTACTTCTAAGAACAATGCAGAGTTTAACAGCATGTCAAAGGACAAGATTCAGGAAAAAGCAATACGTAAAATTGTAGCAGTAGATGGATTATCTTTCAACGTGATCATGAAGAATAAATTTTTTAGGACAAGTTTCTTAAGGAGTTCAGTTGCCAAGGAGTTTATCTGCAGTTTTGACATTAATATATAACTACTACAATAGAAGATAAGAGTAATACATAGAAAAAATTGGTGCCTTTTATGAATCCAAATTTACAGGGAGAGAATGAGGACAGTTATATCCTCGTGGGTTGAACATACAGATGTGTACATTGTGTTAAGAAACTACAGTGGAGTTGTACCTAACATTCTATTCAAAAGAAGGTCGTGCTTAAGCTGAACTCTGAAGGAAGCATAATACTAAGCCAGGATGTGAAGGGTGGGAAGTGATCCAAGCAGAGTGTACTACATGCGCAAAGGCCCAGAAGCATGAAAGCACAGCAGTTTCAGAAACAGTGGATGTGGCTCTAGTCAAGAATATAAATGAAGATAGGCTAGGAGAACCATGTACCGCCAGCTCATGAGGTCTTTTTGTGTCATAACAGGGACTCCTCTGAAGCTAATCCTGAATGCCACAAAGACCC